TTTAAATCCCATAAAACTGCAATTAGTGAAACAAACTGCCCAAAAATTAATCATGTTGCAACAATTTGGAACTTTTTCTCTTGGATCTCCCCTTAATCGTCGCTAAAATCATGACAAATTGCAAATACCTTTAGAAATTTTATCTGAAGTTTGTTTTTGAGTTCTAACCGATGACGTCGATGGGGATGGTCGCTGGGACGATCTGCGACGGACACTTGTTCAAATTGGAGAAGACCGGCCACGTCCCAAGTGACCCAAAAGGACACGCAGCGAACCCTTGACACTTGGAAGGAGGCTGAGACTGAGACGGAGACTGCGTCTGAGGCCCAGTCTGAGCACAGCTTGAAGTTAAATAAATTAAGGGCAATTAGGAGCAGCATTACAAGCACAAAGGTTACTTGGATGCCGCATTTCCACCTCCGCGTTGCTGCTCAGGTGATTTTTCGAATTATGAACGCAAAATTTTGTGAGGCATTTTTGCCACAGACAACTCAAAGTCATGCAACTTCAACTTTAGACTCATCTGCTGCCTCTGCTGCTGAATTTGCTCTTCTCTGTGCGATTTTTAATTGCACACTTTACATTTTACACTGTAAAAAGTACAGTTTCGCCTCGGGCGGAAGTGGTTCGAGTCGAAGATTAGCGGCAGGCTGCTTGCCACAGCCACAGCAGCAGCCACAGCAGCAGCCACAGCAACAGCCCAGACAAGTGCAGAAAGCGTAACGCAAACAGCATTTTTGTCCAATTACCTGCGGCTAATTGTTGCGTACAAAGCGTACTGGCTGGAGTAACTGAAGGAAAGAAACCCCCCATACGATAAATGTGAAAGTCAACAAATTGTAGCTGCAAGAAGGCGTAGCGAGGCGAGTGGGGAGGGGGTGGAGAGGGTGGAGTATTAAGAAAGAAAATATCATAAATTACAAATAAAAAAGAAACCGAAAAATTGTTGATCATATGGCACCAATCAGCGTTTTTCTGGGCAACTTCCGCTGCAAAAGGTATATTTGCATAGTGGCCGAGTTCTACTTTCGCTGAGCGAAGCAAAAGATCATCAAAGACGGTCAAGCGTGTCCACACACAGAGCTGGGGGGTTCGTTCAGTATTCAGCGTGGCTTTAAGTGGGAGGAAGAACTACAGTAGAACTTCGGTAACGCGAAATTAATTGTGAGTGAGTAGTTTATCTCTCAGATTTCTCATCATTTTTCTCATTTAACGGTGAGGTAACTGAAATTAGTTTGTAATGATCCAGACTGATTTTTTTCTTTTCTATTTTTTTCTACCCTGCTAATTCTTATTTACAGGCTTTCTGCCTTTCCTCAGTTTGGTTCAGTCAGAAGCCACTTAGTTCTGCCTGAGGCTCAGCTCCGTAAAGAAATATTCATGCTCCGGTGGGTGCCGTGCCTGACACTCCACCGAACAACGAAAATCACGCAAGAAAAGATTTCACTTTTTTGGAGCTTAGAAAAAAGACAAACAAAAAAACAAAGAACGAACGAACGAAAAAGAAAACAATGCGAGTACACAATCATAACTGACCTTAATCAATGTCTATGATGTTGAACCCCTCTCTGTCTCACCATCCAGTCGGCTACTATTCGTATTGGATCTATCCACCTTCAGCCGTGTTTCTATTTGTGTGGGTGGCTGGGGTAAGGGGTAAGGGGAAATGGAAATGTACTTTGGCCATGCACGAAAATGTATCTTCGAGTGTAACAAGCATATGCAATCGCGTTTTTTTCACTTGAAAGAGGACAGAACAACAAAGGCAACTTTATATTTTCCATGCAATGATGCTGATGCTATGCTTCTCGTCTCTCTCTCTCTCTCTCTTCCCGGCTGTAAACAAGTTTGCTGCGAAAACTTCTCAGGCAATCTAAATCTGGACGAGCGGCAGCTGGAAGAAGCGATGCAATTTCATTCATATGCAACAAGAAGACAGAGTGTAAATCGACAAGTCGAAGCTTTAAACACCCTTGCAGCCGAACACCCTTCCAATTATATAGCCATTCGATTGAGCAGACATCTGGTAATCACCACATATACATACATATATTATGCCTAACCGATCTTAGTGGCTAAAACTAACACCAAAAAAAGGTGTCTTTGAGAAGAGTCACTATCAGTCATACTACTGCCTGAAAGGGTACAAATAATAAAGTGAGATGGAACGGGGAGAGAGGAGCAGAGTACAGGGCAACAATTTACACAGAGAGCATTTCCTGTCTGGCCAAAAGACATGGAGAGGTATCATGTACCGTCCGCTGAGTGGATCCAAGCCAAGCCAAGCCAAGCCAAGCAACAGCAACAGCAACTACCTGCCCTCGAGTGGTCCGCAGGTGAAGTAACTTATACGCTATTTCTTCTGAAACTTCTTGATGATGATGCCCCAAGGTAATTAGTTTAGTGCTCACCTTGCCCCTTTTTTGCCTGTCTCGGGAATCATTAAAAGCCCGCCTGTGTATGTACATCTAAGAAAACTCTTTATGGTGAGACATAAACCCACAGCAGATGAGACCATACATATGTGAGTGAGAGAGCCGATCTTGAATGGACGAAACCAAAGCCATAAAATCATCAAATTGTGAAATTTCTGCACACGATGCAATGAATTCATTCAGATTCAGATTCTCATTCGTATTCCCAGTCAGTCCCATTCCGTCCGTCCGCTGTGCCTCTGACTTGAGCTTATGTATCTGGCGGATGTGACTCATTCGGTCAAAGCAAAAATTGAGTCGCAGTCAACACAACACAGCACAACACAGGGCAGAGCAGAGCGGAATGGAATGGAATGGATTCTCGCAGCCAGCTCTCTTCTTTGGCTACCTCTTCGTCTGTTCCGGCTGCAAGCGAAGCAATTCTCTTTCTTTTTTTTTTCCACTTTTTGGTGTTTTATTTATTTTATTTTTACTTGGTGCTGTTTCATGCCTGACTAGATTGATCGTTGATTGTCTCGAACCTGAGATAAAGATACAGAAAACCAGAAAATCAGAGAAGTAGAAAGACCTAAACACTGTAGTATGACTTGGAAATATCTAAGATAATATTCCCTAGTGCCAGAAATATTTAAAAAAAAGTTCATAACAAGAAAACTAATAAAATATAAAAAAAATAAATAATTACATTCGTAAAGTTTGATTAAAAATTGTTTAATAATTCTCTATAATCATGGAAAATCAGAGAAGTAGAAAGACCTAAACAGTGGGATTGTAGAATGAAGTATGACTCGGAAATATCTCAGATAATATTCCCTAGTGCCAGAAATATTTTAATAAAAGTACATAGCAAGAAAACTGAAAAAAATAAAAAGAAATCAATAATTATATTCGTTAAGTTTGATTTAAAATTGTTTAATAATTCTCTATAGTTCATGGAAAATCAGAGAAGTAGAAAGACCTAAAGAGTAAGATTTTAGAATGATGTATGACTGGCAAATATCTAAGATAATATTCCCCCTTATAGTGCATAACAGAAACTATTTAAAATAAATAATTTTATTCGCAATTGGTGCATCTCTTAATTCAAGAAAACTGAAAAGTAGAAAGACCTAGGGGGGTAGAACAGTAAATGGCACTGGTTTTAATATGCCATAACAAGATGAATAAATTATATAAAATAATAATTGAATTTAATTTAAAATTTTTTTTATAACTCTCTATAATAAACCAGATTCATGAAAGAACAGAATTGGAAGACAATGCCCGTTACTTTCATGCAACAGCCATGAAATAAGCCAGAGATTAACTTACATCGCATCCTTGTACTAAAATAGAACCAAAGTAAGAAATGCGTAGCCAATTAAATTAATTAGAATGATGTCATGAGCTCTGCCCACGCATAAACCCACCATAAAATGTATTTATATCAACGAAAAGCCCTATTTATACAATTTAGCCCACTCTTCGTGCGATTCACCGTGGCACACATGCAGGAAACTTAATCCTTTTTCTGATTGCTGTCACATGTTGCATGCAGCATGTTGCCAGGCTCGGATGTTGCACAGCCTGTAAATGTTGAGCGGCCGAAACGGTTAAGGCAACACAAATCTGTGAATCAATCATGACCAGAGTGCTGGGCTCTCTCTCTCTCTCATTTTCTAGCGACACACACACACACCCTTCAGCAGCACAGCCACCCCCCTCGCTTTATCCAACTGTTAATTCCACCCAAGCACGAACACCCAGAACAACCCACACGACCTCAAGCGTCCGACGGAGAGTCGAGTCTCTTCGGCCAGCCGAATGGCCATGCCATGGCAAAACGGCGAAGCGACTTTCAGCGAGCCCCAAGCTCCAGCAAATGCTCAGTTCAAGTCGATGAACGCTGCCGAGCGGTTGGGTTGTTGCGCCGCGTCTCTCGATAAAAGCCGAAACGCCGTTATACGCCGTCATATATGTGCCATCGCCACGATGATGATGATGATGAATGCAGCCAATAATGAAGTTAAATGTGCAGTGAAAACAGTTCAATGAGAGTGAGAGAGAATGGCAATCTGAATGCTGGAAAACTCATCACGCGACCCTCGCACGCTGAAACAACCCCCCAGCCCACACGCACCCCTCTGGCGAGTAATGTCCACGCGATTAGCGGGACTCGTGTGTAAATTTGAATTTGGACCGAGGTTCGTTCTATCGTTTTTACTGTTCTGATTGCGGCCGTAACGGGACTACACTGCTCGGTGCGGACTTCGGGGCGGATGCGGACGTAACCGACGTAACGCCAGGGAAAAACGCGACTCCGAATTAAAGCTTTGCGTGGCAAAAAACGCTAACCTAAGCAAAAAGCAACAAAAAAAAACCCAACAAAAAATAAGAAGCAGAAATTTTGTGGGAAAAACGAAAAAGAAAAAGAATATTGTGAAGGGAAAAATATACCCACAGAAGAAGAAAAAAAAAAAGGAAAACGAGAGAAAGAGCAAAAGTTGCGTAGGAGAAATAAGAAATTCAGTGGCTCAAAAATACGATTATCATCCATTCACAAGAGGAGCGTGAGTGCGAGTGCGAGTGTGTGTGTGTCGTTTTGTGTGTGTGTTTTGTTTCGGGTCTAGCCCTATAAATAACATTGGGTCTGAGCCGGTCCGGTCCGGTGGTGGTCGCTAATTACGGCGAAACATGAAAATCTACGCAAAAACTAAAGCAACAACTCCAAGAGAGGCCCGGGCACGGGTAATTAATCAATTTTCCGCTTGACCAATAAGGAAGTTTCCATATCATAATTAAACCAAACAAACCAAAACAAAAACAAAGCCCGAATAAAGCGAAAATACAAAGAAAAGTAAAAGTTGAAACTGAAACTGAAGAGAACCCCAGACATATCTTAAAATATCAAAGCGTAATCATTATAAAGAAGTTACCATAATCATATCATAATCCCCCATGATATCAGAGCTGTGTATGGACCAGGCCTCAGCCTAGAACCGCTCAAAGAACCAAGACTTTAACGAGGATCCAGGGATCAAGAGAAGCCCACACAATGCTTATCCGAGGATTCCTTCTACTAGTGCTGCCCTCGATCATCCTAGGCAGTCGCTACAATCAGCTGAATTTGTATGCGAATGGAGGCGCAGGAAGTGGATCGCCATCCTCCCCATCGGGGGGACAGTACCGGACATCCACAGCAGCCCAGCAGAACGAGGTCTACTCCGTGGCGGACAGTCAGCCCATGACGGAGGATGGCTACATGCCACCGAATCAGCATTTTCCGCACAACCCGCACAACCCCGATCTGGACACGAATCCCGCCCAGAGCACCTGCCAGACGGTGTGCGCCTGCAAGTGGAAGGGCGGCAAGCAGACGGTGGAGTGCATCGATCGGCACCTCATCCAGATACCCGAGCACATCGACACGAACACGCAGGTGCTGGACATGTCCGGCAACAAGCTGCAGACCCTCTCCAACGAGCAGTTCGTGCGGGCCAATCTCCTCAATCTGCAGAAGCTATATCTGCGCAACTGCAAGATCGGGGAGATCGAGAGGGAGACCTTCAAGGGGCTGACCAATCTGGTGGAACTGGATCTCTCACACAATCTGCTGGTGACGGTGCCCAGCCTTGCTCTCGGCTACATCTCCTCCCTCAGAGAGCTGACCCTGGCCTCCAATCACATCCACAAGATCGAGAGCCAGGCCTTTGGGAACACGCCCTCGCTCCACAAGCTGGATCTCTCCCACTGCGACATTCAGACCATCTCCGCTCAGGCATTCAGCGGCCTGCAGGGACTCACCCTGCTCCGATTGAATGGCAACAAGTTGAGCGAGCTGCTGCCTAAGACCATCGAGACATTGAGTCGCCTCCATGGCATCGAGCTGCACGACAACCCCTGGCTCTGTGACTGCCGCCTGCGGGACACCAAGCTCTGGCTGATGCAGCGCAACATCCCCTATCCAGTGGCTCCTGTGTGTTCCGGTGGACCCGAACGGATCATCGATCGCAGCTTTGCCGAACTAAATGTGGACGAGTTTGCCTGCCGCCCGGAGATGCTGCCCATCTCGCACTACGTGGAGGCGGCCATGGGCGAGAATGCATCGATCACCTGTCGGGCCAGAGCTGTGCCGGCAGCCAACATCAACTGGTACTGGAATGGGCGACTCCTGTCCAACAACAGCGCATTCACGGCCTACCAGCGCATCCACATGTTCGAGCAGCTGGAAGGAGGCGGCGGATTTGAGAAGCGATCCCGTCTGGTGCTCACCAATGCCCAGGAGACGGACTCCAGCGAGTTCTACTGCGTCGCGGAGAACAGGGCCGGTAGTGCCGAGGCGAACTTCACGCTCCACGTGAGCATGAGGGCGGCTGGCATGGCGTCCCTGGGCAGTGGACAGATCGTTGGCCTGAGTGCGGCACTGGTGGCCCTCATTGTGTTCGCCCTGGGCGTGATAATGTGCCTGTTGCTGCGCGTGAAGCGGCAGCCGTATGTCGACAGCAAGACGCCCAACCACATGGAGGTGATCACCTCGGTGAACCACCAGAACTCCATCACGAACAAGACGCAGCCGGTGACGGGAAATGGCAGCATCGGAGGCGTGGTCATAGCCAATGGGGCCGTGGCCAACTGCATTGATGGGGGCATGAACCAGGCTGGCACTCTGGAGAGGAAGAGTAGCGGCCGCGGCTCACATGCGGCCAGTCACGAGCGCAGTGCCAATCCCGTCCAGAAGCCGCCTCGACTCACGGATCTGCCCTACGCCACGCATGCCTACGAAAATGCCGGGAGTGTCCTCTCTACGGCTTCGTGCTTCATCTCGCCGACCGGCTCCGGAAATGGTGGCAACAATCCCGATCTGATCAACGACACGAAGCGCTTTGGCAGCGACGAGTTTGCCGATCTCAAGATACCCGCTGTGGGCGGAGTTGGAGGCGGTGGCAGTGGGGAATATAGCCGCGCCAATGGCTGCGACTCGCTCTACCCCTCGGGACTGTGGGAGCACGCTGCTCCGGCGGGCACCAGCTCGGCGGACGACCTCTTCATGAAGCGCTACACGGACAAGACGCCCATCATCGACTCCAGTCAGCTGTACGATCTGCACGAGCGCTCGGCGGCCACGGATTACTTCAGCAAGACCTTTCCCAGATCCCACCTGCAACAGGGAGCGGGAGGCGCTACTGCAGGCGGTACTGGGGGCGGGGGAGCTGCATCGACCACATCTACAGCCACGACAAATCTTTCGGGAGGCTCCTCCTCCGGCTATCCGAATGACTACGGCCTGCCACTGGTGCCAGGAGCGGAGCACCAGCACAACCACCAGCTGCAGATGCATCCGCTGCATCAGCTCCAGCAGCAGTTGACCTCCACCCTGAATCACCAGCACGGAGCAGGGGGCAGTGCCGGCGGCTCCGCCGGCAGCAGTCCCCATTTCAGCAGTCGCACCCTGCCACGCCTGCACGACGGCGGAGGCAACGGCCACAGCGGCAACAGTGCACGGTCCTCCCCCACACCGGCCATGGCGGCGGTGCCCGGCTCCAGTTCCTGCTCAATTCTGCCCAACGGGCAGCCCATCAATGCCAAGACGATACGGGTGTGGCAGAAGGGAGGCGTGCCGGTGCTGCCACCCGTAACGGCACTGAAGCGGGCCCTGATCAGCAGCAGTCGCAACTCCCCGGACGAGGGCTATCAGGAGGGATGCGGCACTGATGTCTAGGCCGCAATCCAAAGAGGCAGAGACAGAGACGGAGATGGAGATGGAGATGTAGATGGAGACGGAAACGGAAACGGAGACAGAGACCCACGCTGAGCCCGCTGAGAGTATGGAAATAAAAACCAAGAAAGAACTGACTAAACTTAACAGAAAAAAAGATATAGCTCTAATGAAATACTCGTAAGAGAGATGCATAGATAGCTCTGATCCTAGGCGAACCGATGATTTTTGTGCAAGCGAACTGTTTGTGATAGTGTCTGACAAAAAAGATAATGCGAATGAAGATAATAATTGCCGAAAGCAAAAGAGTTAAACGAGAAACAAGAAGACGGAAGGCTAAAGCGAAATCAACTGCACTACACACTAACGTATACTTTCCTAGGCGAGTAACTAACTAACTAACTAACTAACTAATACTTGTAACTGTACTTACATAAAAACTAAACTTAACTTAATTAAACTTAACTTAAGCGACAACATGTACATACAAGTTTCTCTGCCCCCCCCAAAACGGATAACTCTCAACTCCCCGCATATCCCTCGAAAATAAACCAGAATACTCGTACGAGTATGGAATGGATTCCTTGCAAATAAATTAAAGTAAACGAAAAACGAAACATAAATCAAGTAAATTGTCAAAATCCCATTTGTAAATGTAACTAAATCTACATGCTACGTACGTATATACTATATGTATGTGAAAGTATCAATATAGGCGTATATATGTATGTGTATATGTCTGTGTATGGATGTGTGTAAGTAATTTCAAAGTTTTTTCAAATAGAAGCATACATATGTATGCAGATAGCCAGAGCCCATCCTAGAGAAACATCATCTCCTTTCACCCAAGAAAACTAAATACAAAAATCCAATTTGAGCTCAACATTTGTATAATATACGTACATTCATATATACATAAACTCGTATATTATATATATATCTTTATATATGTACGGTAACGTATATATATATATATATAATCATCAAATAAATGTAAATATTAGATATGCCAATAGACTAAAAAAAGGAAAGCCAATTACTTGATCCAACTATGGTTAAAAATCTGTGTACTTCTGTTAGAAAGGATAGGCTAAAAGAGAAACTAAAGCTGTCCACTAGCCCTCTGCCCAAAGGAGAGTAGTAAATCAACTTTTATTAATAAAAGAGAAATTCAGGGAAAAAGTTTTCGGAATTCATATCAGAATTTATTTATTTATTGGCAAGCGTAAGTGGACACAATAAAAAAGAAAGACTAAATACTGAAACCAATTTATTGTAATATTGTGCACATTAGTTGGTTATTGCCTGAGAAGTAGTATCTCAGAAAATCCTCAATTAGTGTTCTCTATCAAAAATAGAATCTTCAGCCCAATCAAAAAGTGTTATGCCTAAGAGATTAAAGAAGGGAAAATAAAATTCAATGATTGGAATATTCAAAAACCATAATCAAAGATTTAAAAAATCGTTTACGATTTCCTCCAACCCAAGTCCGATTCTAAAGGAATTTCTCCAATCCATAAGCAAGCATGCCTTCCCCTCTTCTTTCCCCTAAATCTTTACTAAAGAAAGATCTGCTGGAAATCTAATTCGAAATCCACAATTTAATGTAGAGCACTGTCTGACACTACCTGACAGCTTGACAGGATTCCAATTTGCTCGACCTAAGGACTAAATGAAATTTGAATTTACTTGGTGAAAAGCTTGACCCCATTCTCCTGCTCAGAAAAATGTTCCCCCCTAATCAAATTAGGACGATTCAAACAGTAATTGCAATGATAAATAAATAAATTCCAGCCGAAAAGTTGATTTACTGCTGTGCCATTTAAAAAAAAAAAAGAAAGAAAAAGCGAAAAATAATACAATCTGAATTTGTGTGAATTTTCCCCCGTAAGCTTAGAACAATTGTAAAATCGAATCGAGCAAAATTATAGCAAAAAAAAAATAAAATCCGTAAAACAAAAAGCAAACAAAAAGCGCATCCATGGAAAGCAAATGGAGAGTATCCATCATCCAATTCATACGTAAATAAGCATATGTAAATTGTACTCAAAGTACACATAACACAACACATATCACAGATACACACACACACACATACACAGTCACCCACAAACACACACATGTATAGACATATATGTATACATATAGACGTATTGCAGTTTGTCCCTGTAACAGTTTAAAGCGTATCCACAAGATATTAATTGCCCGTATGTGCTAAGACTTACAATTTAAGCGGAAACAAGAAAAACATTGAGAAAAAAAATAATGAAAAAGAAATGATATTTTTAAGGTAAACCAAAGACTTTTTTCTTTGCATCTAAATGAGCGAAGGAGTCTTCAAAGGACTCTCCAGCAAACAGTAGAAACACACACACACAGTTACACATCCATACACCCATACACACAGACACAGACACAAACACACAGAAACCGAAAAGTAATCTTCAACAAGAGAGCAAGAAAGAACCATAGCATTTAAGTTGAACTTATGTATTATGTATTGTATAATATATACCTACATATAGTATATATATATAGTCTATAGATGTGTACACTTATCAACCGAATGAGCAAGAAAGATGGCAAGAGAACGAAAGAAAGAGAAAGGGACACCGAAAGTAGAGAGAGCGAGAGCGAGAGAGTGGAGAGGTATGGAGAAAGTGCCCGCAGACAAAAGGCGAGCATTGAATGCATGAAAGCAACTGAATGAACAGCAAAGCAAAAAGGAAATATATAAAACATTATATATATCTATATATAAACGAAAAAAAAAAAAACATAAACCATTGTCATTACTTTTAACCCAAAATGGTTTCCTCTTGCCCACAGATCCAAAGGTAGGTAACATTCCGAAGGGGATTTTGCCCAGAAGCAGGGGCCTGACCCAATTAGTTGGCCATTCGAATGCTGTCCAACGCTGAGGCCAAAAGCTGCTGCGCTTCTCTTGTTATTCGCTGCAACGCTTTGGCATATTAGGGCCAATCGTCTAATCGCCAATTATGCATTTGAGCCCAGACCCCGAACCCAAACTCAACCCTGCATAAGTCCAACCTTACCTCAGCTTGGCCCCCAACCCCCACAAAATAGATTGAAACGGAGGTAACCACACGCGGACAAACACAAACTGTGGCCTAAACCCGCGAATCGATATGGGTAATCATTGGGGGACGGAGATGTTCATTAGCACGAAGCGAATATACCCTAAACCGTGCGAGGTGTCAGACATCTCATTCGAATAAAGTTTTGCGGATTTTTAGCGGATTTTAGTTTTAGATTTAAGCAGCTAAAATTATCCCAAAAGAAACCCGTTCTAGCTTCACTTATTAATCTCTTTCAGGTTTGTATTTTCAGCATATGTATTTTCTGGACAAAATTAGATGTGTGCTAAGTGGTGATGATTTTTGAAAGAGTTATCAACAGTAGAGTAAGGAAACGTCTTAGTCGAAGTAAAAATGATTAGCAATAACGAAACATAAACATTTTTAAATATTGCACACGAATAAACCAATAATTTTAAATGTTTTTAAACTTTAAACATATATTTTAGGGTACCTTCAATATATTTTCAGTTGCTATAATGTGTAAGTACTTGGATTTAAGCTCTTTAAAGAAGCGTTTAGTAAGTTACTGCTCGATACACATTTCTTTTTGCTGGATGCTTCTCCTGTTACTCATTTGCTCGAACATATTTCATAGCAAATTGTAGATGCCGATTGCCAAAAACTAGGTAACCTCGGCTCCATCTATGGCAGCACACCGACAAAACCTCGACCTACCTCCTCAATCCCTGTATTTATGTCTGTCTGTCTGTGTCTGTGCGGGGGGGAGGAGATTGTGGAAGTACAGGCTGGGTTCAAAGTTGTGTTGCGTGGGGTGAGTGGGAGGGAGTTGTTGGGTAGCGCGTAATAAATATGGCGGGCACAGAACGAGATTATATCATGGCGTGCGGCGGCTATGCCAGAACTGTCTGCTGAACCACTCCTCAGACCCTAGGCCTCCTAACATATCCCATCCCCTCCACCACCCTAATTCCATAGTCTCCTAAAATCCCGCCGCTCTTCTCCCCTCCTATACCCGCAAAAGCCTTATTGACGACGCGCAAAGTTTGCCAACTAAACAAGTTTTGTGCCTCAAATGAAATTTAGGTTGCAACTGAAGCCCAACAAAAGCTAAACAAAAACAGCACAGTGCAAGGGGGGTGGCTAGGGGGATAAAGAGAGGAAGACAGATACAGAGGTAAGGAGCGCAAAAAAAATTAGAACTTTTCTCCGCGGCGAAGGAAAGTGAATTTTATTTGTTCAACTTTATTACGGATACGTGACGTTGTGCCGCCTGTGCAAATAACCAAAAATGCAAAACGTGTACCGTACCAGCACGCCCCCCCTTTGCTACACTGACACCCCTCATTTACCTGTCCTTCTTCTCTCACATACCCACAGGTGATCTCTAATGAAGCCTCTGCCATTGTGGCCTCGTCAGGTGCCTCGTCGCACTTTTATGTTGCATACATTGCGGCGCTGGTGGGCGCCCTCTCTGTTTAACGACTTTGCCCAACATATGCCTCGGGCAAGGCAGTCAGGCCCCCACCCGCTGCCAGCCATTGAAGCATGCGAAATTTATAAAAAGAAAACAAAAATAATAGGAGAAAATGGAGAGCAGTTTTGGATACCCTGGAAGAGCCATCGTTCCTATTGCAGCCCCTATGCAGAAATATGTACATATGTGGAGTCATGTACATAAGCCTTAATTTTGCTATTTTCTATTTAACCATTAAAAGAAAGCAACAGTTTATTTTCGTTATATCAGCCACTCTTTATATGTTTTTTTAACATCTGATTTGAATCGAACTGGAGTTCGGTGTTGTGAAGTCCCTCAATATCTGATCGGACAACAGGCCGTTCCAGATAATATTCATTATATCATTATATCCAAGGGTATCAAAAAAGATAAACCTGATACCTAAAGTAGAAAGCAGAAAACCACCACACGGACAAATATACAAAATTCTCGCTTCATTCATATATGCCTAAGCTAACAGACAACGGGCCGTAAATATTGTTGAGAACGGCAGTTTATTTTTGGGGAAGCCTCCGTCGTCCCATCATCATTCAATCGAGGGCCAAAGGAGGGATAGGACCCTCGCAAAA